ATATCTACTGTTACATCTATTCATATTAAAACTATGAGCTCACCCTGATAGTTCCGTTTCCAGTCTAACACCATAGCAGCAATCTAGCTTTTAACCCTTTGCATATTTGTAACTTCCTTCCCCAACAGTGAGGATAAGGTGGTTTCTGTGATCCTCCGACTACCCGTATGTTTGCTCATTGCCCCTGTGGGTAGGAGCCTCTATTTAGCCCTTAATCTTTTTGGCCCCATCATCCCTGATTTCTCAAGGAAAAGGAAAGGAAGTAGTCAGAATATTTTAAATAAAAAAGAAGGGAAAATGATGAGAATAAGAGTTTTCTGTTCTTTCTTTTTTTTTTTTTTTTTTTTTGAGATGGAGTTTCGCTCTTGTTACCCAGGCTGGAGTGCAATGGCGCGATCTCGGCTCACCGCAACCTCCGCCTCCCGGGTTCAGGCAATTCTCCTGCCTCAGCCTCCTGAGTAGCTGGGATTACAGGCACGTGCCCACCATGCCCAGCTAATTTTTTGTATTTTTAGTAGAGACGGGGTTTCACCATGTTGACCAGGATGGTCTCGATCTCTCGACCTTGTGATCCACCCGCCTCGGCCTCCCAAAGTGCTGGGATTACAGGCTTGAGCCACCGCGCCCGGCCTTCTGTTCTTTCTATACCATAAAGTATCTGTATCTGCATGGCAAGGTGGGTATTAGAAATCATCAAGCAATCTCTTGAAGATGTAAAGATGTCATGGAAATGAATGTTCATAAAGACTGAGGGAAGCGTTCAGTTACTTATTCACATAATTGAGTGCTTGCCATGTGCCAGGCACACTGTGAAAGACAGATGTAGCCCTTGCCCTCGTGAACCTATAGTCTAGTGGATTCTTTTTATTATAGTTGCTATTTATTACATCACACTTTGGCAACGCTACATTAAGTACACTAAGCACTTTATTTATGTTATTTGATTTTAATTCAGACATAAACCCTATGGAAGAAACAGTACTTTTTTTCCAACTTTACAAAAAATGGAACTGAGGTTTTGAAAGATTAAGTAATCTTTCCAACATCACTGAGCTAATTAGTAAGAGACTGGGATCTGCATTTCGTTTGGTCTGACTTCAGAGGCCCAACTCTAAACACTAGGGCTATAAGCAAAAACAAGGTAGAATGATTCAACATGGTGGCATCCAGAAGGAATCATGATTTATAAAATCTTGAATGCAAACTCGCCTATAGAACTGGGCTATCCAGTACATTAACTACTAACCATGCATGGTTATTAAGAGCATAAGGTGTATCTAATTCAAATGGAGATATACTATAATTATGAAATACAAGCGGATTTCAAAGACATTAGAAAAAAACTAATGTAAAATATCTCAGTAATAATTTGTATATTCATTATAGGTTAAAATGATAATACTTTGGATATATTGGGTAAAACAGATAACGCTAATTTTTTTTTTACCTTCACAATAGCCAAAAGGTGGAAATAACCCAAATGTCCATCAATGGATAGATAAACTGCAGTATACAATACAATGGAGTATTACTCAGGTTTAAAAAAGATTGAAATTCTGTTACATCTTACAATATGGATGAACCATGAAGACATGCTAAATGAAATAAATTAGGCACAAAAGGACAGATACTGTTAGGATCCCACTTACATGAGGTACCCAGAATTGTCAGATTCATAGAAATAGAAAGTAGAATAGAGTTATCAACGGCTGGTGGGAGGGAATGATGGGAGGATTGTTTAGTGGGTACGGAATTTCATTTGGGGATGACGGGAAAGTTCTGGAAATAGATAGTAGTGATGGGTGCATATCAATGTAGTTGTACTTGATTTCACTGAATTGCATGCATGAAAAGAGTTGAAATGGTGATATGTTCTGTGTATTTACTACAATTTTTAAAAACTGGTTTTATCATTTCTAGAAAATTTAACATAGCATATGTGTTTTGTATATCTCTATTAGACAGCATTGCTATAGTATTATATTGTTAATACAGAAAAATGTTATTTATTAAACTTTTCCCTTTTCACATGGCATATTTAAGAGGTTTTTGAGCCGGGCACGGTGGCTCACGCCTGTAATCCCAGCACTTTGGGAGGCCGAGGCGGGTGGATCACGAGGTCAAGAGATCGAGACCATCCTGGTCAACATGGTGAAACCCCGTCTCTACTAAAAATACAAACAACTAGCTGGGCATGGTGGCGCGTGCCTGTAATCCCAGCTACTCAGGAGGCTGAGGCAGGAGAATTGCCTGAACCCGGGAGGCGGAGGTTGTGGTGAGCCGAGATCTCGCCATTGCACTCCAGCCTGGGTAACAAGAGCGAAACTCTGTCTCAAAAAAAAAAAAAGAGGTTTTTGAAATATTAAATGACCCTAAATTAGACTTTTCACCTCCTGGTCAGTCAGCTTTTTACTTACAGTTACATTAGTGACATAGACTTTTGAAATTTAATTAACTTTATGAAACACTAGTCATTTGTTGTTTTAATAGTTCATTTTCCAGTTGCAGATTATCCATGCAGCCTCTGTTCAAGCACTAACATAACTGTCTCAGCCTATGTAGATCATAAAATATAATTATCTTAAAATTCCATCTCGGTTTAAGCTTCCTTGGGTCCATGGCATTGATATTAGTTCATCAGTTAAATTTCAGAAGTTGACCCCTAGGGCAGATACTCCTTCCCCTTCCTGTGCCTTTTTACTTTTTTTTTTTTTTTTTTTGAGATGGAGTTTCGCTCTTGTTACCCAGGCTGGAGTGCAATGGCGCGATCTCGGCTCACCGCAACCTCCGCCTCCTGGGTTCAGGCAATTCTCCTGCCTCAGCCTCCTGAGTAGCTGGGATTACAGGCATGTGCCACCATGCCCAGCTAATGTTTTGTATTTTTAGTAGAGACGAGGTTTCACCATGTTACCCAGGATGGTCTCGATCTCTCGACCTCGTGATCCACCCGCCTTGGCCTCCCAAAGTGCTGGGATTACAGGCGTGAGCCACTGCGCCCGGCCTGCATCCTACCTCTTTAACCCAAGTGAACAAACGATGACAGTAGCAGCCCCCAGGAAAGCAACTTCCGAACAGCATCGCACTGTGCTAGAAGGTAGAAAAAAAAGAAGAAACTTACATATTTTAAACCGATTAGTCATTTTTCAATTTCAAGTTTTTAAACTTTCGTCCTAGCAGACATTTTACTAACAGCAAAATGGACAGAATTTCACTGTCATGTATTATCCTGTTCTTAGCGTTCCTTAAGAGTGGGATTATTTATATGTAAAAGTGAAAGTCCTGGATAATCTACAAAACAGAAAAATATCTCCAAGTATACGGGTTTATTTAGGAACTGGTATAATGAGGGGAACCTCTCTCTGCCTTTGATGCCTGCCCATCGGCAGTGTTTATGTATTAGACATTTTAGAGCTCAGAGTTTTCTCAAGTGAAAATGATAATAAGAGGTTAACTTTTTTTTTTTAATGAGGAAAACATGTTCTTGACCTTGAAAATTGTTGTTGCAAATCATCTGTACTCTCTAGTTTCCAGGGGCTATCTCTCCATGTACTTCAGTAATGCCAAAATACCAGGTGACAGCTGTTTTAGCTCTAAGACATTCCTCGAGTGTGCTATTTTGATGTCATTATGTAACGCTTTTCTTTGCCATAGCTATCATCATTCAGTCGTTTTGCTGATACATATCACTGCGTAGCTGTCTTTCTTGTGTGCACATAGGACTTTTCCAAATATGCGCTGGTTCTCTGAAATGTACAAAGACAGGGAAGGGATAATTCTAGCAACGCCTCTAATTGGACCAATGTCTTCTTGGCTAAAACGTTCCTTCTGAACAGGAAAATACATGAGTTAGAAGTCTTTCTCCCCTCTCAGGCTTCCTTCTGTCTAAAAATGTTATTTCATTCTGATCCTGTTTTCTATATTAATTGCACATCTTATAAAGAGGTATTATATCAACTGAGAACTTCTCTAATTCTTCTGCTCAAATCTTCCCTTAGTAACTGTAGTAACTTGGTAACCTAAAAGATTTGGTCTCTGGAAAATCAGAAGCTGGAATAGAAACTATTTCTTCAACTGTCATAACTCTGTCACCCGTGACATCCATGAGCATAATTTTCAGTTCACTTCAACAGATATTTACTGAGTGCCTGCAGTGTGCTCCGTACAGTGCTAGGTCTTGGTCCTATAAAGACAAAAGAAAATGTTGTACCATCTCTGTCGCTCAGGAACTCGTAGTCTGATAGGAAAGGCAGTATAAAATTCTCATTTTAATGGGCTGGATGTTCTAATGTAGGGCTGAGTAGCCCTGTTATCTGTGTCTTCCTGAGGTAGAGGTCAGGGAGGCGTCACAGGCCGGGGGTGGGGCTGCAGCTGTTTGCACTGGACACCCTGGGTGAGGAGCATTAGGTTTCTGGCAGAAGAGTAAGAAGGAGGGCATTCTAGGCAGAGGACACAGAGTCAGCTCAGGAAAGCACAGGATGGCTTCAGCCCTGGCAGCTCCCCCTGAGGGGCAGGACTGTGGCATCCAACCTTGTACTCATGAAAATTGTGTGGCCCAGCTTTGACTTTGTTACCACTGCCTGTATAAAGCCTCAGATAAACCATTTGTGTAACAGCTTCCCCAAAGTGATCCCTGGACTCAAGTCAAGCTTATCCCGGTGCTCTGAGCGGGGGGCCCTGGTGTCACCCCAATGCACGCTTGTTGATGAAGGATGCAGGGACTTCAGAGGTTGGCCTCACGGAGGGGACAGGAGTAGGTGAGGCTGCTCCCAGCAGCAGAACCAGTAGCATATGTTACACGTGAGATATTTCAACAAGGCAGGGACAATCTGGGCAGGTGGCTGCGGCACAATTCCAGGTGAGCTATTTGGGCCTGGGCCTGATCCCAAGCAGCAGATAGGGAATGAGGAACAAGAGATATGGAAAGGTAAGATTTATACCTAGAAGCGGAACCCCATGCAAATAAACAAGGTGCCGAGCAGAGCTACAGTCCTAGTGGAGAAATGAAATGCATGGAGGAAACCCAGGGAAACGTTTGGGCCTATCCCCTGAGCAAATCAGGAGGCGACTGGAGAAAGACTGCTGCTGATCCTGTGTCCGAGTCCCCAGGACCCACGGCAGGCCCTCCGGAGAGCATCCCCAGGCAGTATGACAATTCTAGACCTCGCTTTCTGGTGTGGGTGGGCTCCGGGTAACCTACAAGATTTGGTTTTGCTGGCTAAAGAACCAGATAGGGCACAGTCTGAAGACTCAAGATCTTCCACGTTAGCCACTGGGCATGGTTGGAAAAACAAGGCTGGCACCCAGGGCGCTTCTCAGTTTCTGACAACTCCATGATTTGGCAGCCGAGGGCAGAGCCAAATGGCAAAGTGGCAAGGGCATCCCCCCTTAAGCCAGCTTCACAATAGCTTCCCAGGGATACATGGTACTGTTCTTTCTGAGTGTTCTGGTGCTTCACATTAAGGTTCTTTGTCATTTTTCTTCAGTTAAGGAACACCATGCCGCAAACTTAATAGGAATTCTGCTCTCAACGGCAAATGGCTTTAAATTAGAAGGACTCCCCCCTTATTCAGAATGCTTTGTGTGCCAAACCTGGTGTTTTAAAGCAATCATTTTGAAACTTTCTCATTGCAGCCATACATCAGCTCTCCATTCTCAGCTTCTCAAGTACAGTCAGGGTGGTCCTGGTTAAAATGAATACATAAAAGTCCTCTAATCGTAATCCAGATTTATGGTAGTACAATAGTATTTATGGTAGTAAAAACATAAAATATAAAGATGCCCTTCTTTTTAAAAAATGTATTACTTGCAATTATATTCATTTTATTTATCTTTTCAAAAATTACTTATTGCATGTCTACTATGTCCTGGCATATCTTGAACACCAGGGATATGATATTTAAAAAGCAGATGTTGGCCGGGCACGTGGCTCACACACCTGTAATCCCAGCACTTTGTGAGGCCGAGGCGGGTGGATCACGAGGTCAAGAGATCGAGACCATCCTGGTCAACATGGTGAAACCCCGTCTCTACTAAAAATACAAAAATTAGCTGGGCATGGTGGCGCGTGCCTGTAATCCCAGCTACTCGGGAGGCTGAGGCAGGAGAATTGCCTGAACCCAGGAGGCGGAGGTTGCGGTGAGCCGAGATCGCGCCATTGCACTCCAGCCTGGGTAACAAGAGCGAAACTCCGTCTCAAAAAATAAAAAATAAAAAAGCAGATGTTATTGGTCCCTCCTATCTTGGAATGTAAAGTCTATGGGAAGGATCAAATAAAAACAAGGTAGAACATCAGATGATCTCTTGTGATCGTGCTGTTACAGAAAGGAAGAGAGACTTGATTGAGGGAGGGAGCGAACCTCCGGTATCAGAGGAGCCCTCCCTCTGAAGAGGCACCGTTTCACCCGAGATGGCAGTGGTTGGTGTGGTGAGATGGCAGTGGCGAGAGGGGCTGCAGGGAGAAGCGTAAGCGTGAAGGCCCTGGGGCACGAAAGGGCTTTGCATGTTCGAGGCACTCCGGGAGGCCAGCGTGGCTGGGGTGTCGCGGGCCACGGAGGAGGCATGTGATTGAAGGAGGAAGTAGGACCCCCGTTCGGGGGACCCTGCGCTTGGTGCTAGAGAGTGTGGACGTTATTCTAAGTCTAAAAACAAACGCCCGCGGAGTTTTCACCTGGAAGCTTACATGCTCCTGTTTACCTTTAAAAGATCTTTTTGGCTCTTGTGTGGAGAATGGAAGGGTCAGAGTTGGTTGCTGGAGGGCCAAGCAACAGGGTACTTACTCCCAGGCCGTGCCCTGGGCGGTCCCAAGGACAGCGGCCTGGGGACTCACGGGCTGTAGGCAACCTGTCATTAATTCTCCTATCATTAATTCACATTAATTAATAACAGGCAACCTGTCATTAATTCTCCTATCATTAATTCTCCTTCCCACGGCTCTTCCTCTACAGGCCGAAAGCATTTCTCTCTGCCTGATGCTTGACAGAAAGGATGTCAGAAATGAGGCCTTTCAGATGAGCCAGTCAGGAAGGTCCTGGCCCTAACACTTGGTACAGATGTCCTAGGCTAGCTGTCATTTTCACTTTGCAGGTCGGTTAAATCTGTCAATTTCCCAGGGTTCGTCACCTTTGTTCCTGGTACAAAGAAGGTATTCAGTAAATCTGTGTTCCATTGATTTCACTTGGATTTCCAGTGTTCCGGGTAGAGAGGGAGAATTAGCGGTAGCAGTGGGGTTCTCTTTACCTCCTGTGTGGAGAGGATGTATTTGTCGGGTGGTTACCGTGGCTGTTAAAGCATCAGTATTTTCAGTCTATGGTGGATACTGTTCAAAGCTGAACAAAATGACTCTCCACTGAAATAAAAGGTGCTGTGTACCTACAAAAGGTTGTTTAAGAGCATCTGGTTATAGTTTAATGTGGCTGAAAACATTGCTGATTTTTTTCCCGTTTCAGTTACTCAAATGTGGCTAAAAGTGTGCCTAGAGATTTTCCAAAAAAAAAAAAAAAAAATTCTGAGTGAGAGATATTTCAACCCCAACAATACCTTGAAAATTGGAAGTTGGAATCGCAGCTATTTCAACTGTCTTAACTCTGCCACCAACACTGTGGTGATTCAATGACATGTAAGAAGTCTAGTTTCTAGGCCAGGCGCGGTGGCTCAAGCCTGTAATCCCAGCACTTTGGGAGGCTGAGGCGGGTGGATCACGAGGTCAAGAGATCGAGACCATCCTGGTCAACATGGTGAAACCCCGTCTCTACTAAAGGTGCAAAAACTTAGCTGGGCATGGTGGCGCGTGCCTGTAATCCCAGCTACTCGGGAGGCTGAGGCAGGAGAATTGCCTGAACCCAGGAGGCGGAGTGAGCCGAGATCGCGCCATTGCACTCCAGCCTGGGTAGCAAGAGCGAAACTCCGTCTCAAAAAAAAAAAAAAAAAAAAAAAAAAAGAGCCACGGTAACCACCTGACAAATACATCCTCTCCACACAGGAGGTAAAGAGGACCCCACTGCTATCGCTAATTCTCCCTCTCTACCCAGAACATTGGAAATCCAAGTGAAATCAACGTAACACAGATTTATTGAATACCTTCTTTGTACCAGGAACAAAGGTGAAGAACACTGGCAAAATAATCAAAAGAACACCATCTTTTTATTATCGATGGCAGTGGTTTATAGATTGATTCAGTAGATATGCGTTCACCTGTCAGGTGCTAACTCTCAGATCCACCTGTTTTCACCCTCTTCCTCATCCCCACCAGCCACTCCCGCACAATCCCTCAGGCACTGCAAGAAGCTTCCCATTCCCTTTAACTAAGGGCTGTTTATTCTCTGTGTTTTAGACTGCCCCTGCTCACAGCGCTTGTGTTATTCTGGCATCTCCATTCCGCAATTGCCATTTCTTCTTAGTGCTGCTGCAAATCTCTTTATTGGGAAAGGTCAGTCTTCAGAAGTGAAAGAAATATATAAATGCACCATTCTAGTCACAGCATTTATGCCCTGGCATCCTCCTTCTTCCCGTTGGGAGGGTAGTTTTGTTACCATGTTACCCTAATGCTTCTCATGACAGAACATAACTCAGTTTCTCAAGCCATCTTTTGCACTTTACTGAAGAGCTCTGTGATCTCAGGTGCTTCATTTTGCTGGAAAGGGAAGAGTGTGGCACATCTGATCCCTCATTTTGAAAAGCAGGAAATAATCCTTTTAGTTAGGGGCCTGGGAGGCACATCTGTTTGCAAAAGGAAGGAGTTGCTCTTTCTCTGGCTGTCTGCTTCCTTCCATCCATCCCAAGCCCACCCTTGGAAGTCACAGCTGAGCATCTCTCAGTGAAATAAATGTTGTAATGGGTCAGGTAATTAGCAGGCAGAATTACATTCGGGCTGTAACCTAACTCTAATCGCTGACTGCAGAGAATTAATTTCATATGACATAACACCTTAGTGGTGTGCTGGCTTAGAAGTTCCTACTTGTCTCTCTTTTAGCTAGATTGCATTTTCTATTTCTGGATTTGTTATGTTGATGAGTCAGGTGGCCCCAGACTCTTCCTGTGTTTGAAAGCGACATCCTGACTTCGACATATTTTCTACATACGTAAATTACAAAAAGGAAAAACTCTGTGTCCCTTTGTTGGCATAAAAGTAAGGGAAACCGGAGAGTTGAGTGAGGAAAGTATAAACTAGCCAGGGTCAATAAACTCCAGCCCTAGGGCGCGAATGCAGCAAGATGTACAACAGAGAAAATGCTTTTCTATCTTAAAAACGGTCATTATAAGTAACTTGTAGTGTAAAAGGTCATGTTAATATTTGCCACCAAGTTTTAAAAATGTACGAAATAAGATATAACATCTGTATCATGATCTGTGTGTTCCTGCGCCACAGTGAGTGGGTTTTTCTCTTCCCCTGTAATACATGTGGAAATAGTTACTCTACCCATATTCCTGAGTCCTAGAACAACTGTTTCCGCAACTAGTGGGCTCTCTGGGGTCTCACCTGGTTTGACTTCTGTAATGGAATTTGCTACATGAGTTCAGAAAGATGGTATACTTCTCAAGTTTTTTAAAATTCACATGGTGAATTCTCTTATATACTGAAAGGATAGTTGAAAACCAAAATGACCTTTGAACGCCTAGTTTTGTTTAATAATCAAAAGAAGCCACTGTACATGATGCGAAGTTATTATTAGGAAGCTAAAATTGTTATACTTCTCCTGAGTAATTGATTGTTTGGTCGATGTTTTAGCTTATGCATACTATGAATAGTGACAGGTTCCTTCTTCATATTAGTTCCTACAAACTTAGAATCAAATGTGTGCCCCGTTAGTAGCAAATGTATAGGCCATTATATTTTTATCGTGAGTCTTGGATTAATTTCAGGTCAGATTCTTATTTTTCTTGCATATTTCACTCCCACTTTTAATTTATACATTCCTTTTTTTTTTATAGCTTTGTAAGCTGCCTTAAATTTTTTTCTGGAATAAGATGATCTATAATTAACTAAGAGCTAGATACCGAAAACATGAAAGAAGTAAGTTGGGCAGAGAGAGAAGTAAGGAGAGAAAGCAGGCAGGCAGCTGCGCACGTCCCCGTCACTTAACCTCCCTAAGTCTCAGTTTTTTGTTTGTTTGTTTGTTTGTTTTTTTGAGACGGAGTTTCGCTCTTGTTACCCAGGCTGGAGTGCAATGGCGTGATCTCGGCTCAGCGCAGCCTCCGCCTCCTGGGTTCAGGCAATTCTCCTGCCTCAGCCTCCTGAGTAGCTGGGATTACAGGCACGCGCCACCATGCCCAGCTAATGTTTTGTATTTTTAGTAGAGATGGGGTTTCACCATGTTGACCAGGATGGTCTCGATCTCTCGACCTCGTGATCCACCCGCCTCGGCCTCCCAAAGTGCTGGGATTACAGGCTTGAGCCACCGCACTCGGCGCTCACGTTGCATTTTTATTGCTTATACTCATGTCTGTTTTTCCCCTACATTGTCAGCTTCTCAGAGTAAGGACCACATCTTCTTCATCTTGCCTCCTCAGGGCTTAGCACAGTGCCTAGTACATAGCAGGTACTCATTAGATTTTTGAGGGATGAATATCCATGTGGCCACACAATGAGTCCTTTCAAAATTCCTAGGCAGGAAGGAGGAGAAGAAGGTTGAAGGAAACCAACATTAACACTGCTCTTGTAACGAAAAAATTCGGTCCTTGTTTCACAGCAATAATAATTTTATGATTTGAAGAAATTTTCAAGAGTGCTCTCTGGTAATTGCTACTCAAGAGGATATGTTACGTCACACAAAATAGCAATAATCTCTCCATAAAAGGAGTTCAGCAAATGTTCATACTAAAAATATTACCGATGATTAAGTTTGGACTTGAAAATTAAAAAGGAAAAATTTAAACCTGCTTCTTTGTCCGTTACCTGTTTCTAACTATGTTCCAGAAGTCTAAAATTCTCCCCCAGAGTCTTTAATATATTTTTCAGCTATAAAGATCCTTTACACTGTGTTTAAAGAAACTCAATACTCACACTTGCTTTTGACTGAGGTTTCGGTTTTCTTATTCTTTTCTAAACCAGTGTCATCTTCATCGAAAATTGGTTTTACTAAAGTTATTATTGCTCTAAGTGATACTTGCTTCTTATAACTTGTGTCTCCCTAGAGCATATAAAGTTCTTTTCAGCTTTAACTTTACTTTTCTTTTTTCCTTTCAGTGTTCATTACCGTTTCCTTTTTCATTAATCACAATGCTGAAATGACGCTGTGTGTATCCTCCGTATCCTCTTAATTTCACCCACCAGGATATTATCTCTTACAAACTGAGCCCTTTGCCAACTCCATGTCACATTTCCTTTAGGCGAATAAATTTTCTCCATATGGTTAGCGTATGCCCCTGAGCCCTATAGCCTATTTCCCCTTTTAAAACAGAAATGGGGAGACAGCTGTTCCAGTCCTATAAAGTGTGTTCTGTTTTATAGATAACCCTGGACAGCTCTATGTTGATGTCTGCAATATTACTGGGTCCTTGAAACTGTGAATTTCCTGGACCTCAATTTCCCTCTCACATTTGGGAAAGAAAAATTAATTCTACTAGATGTTTCAGTGTGCTGTGTAGGCCATGAGGTCTTCTCTACAAGTTTGTTTTGGTAGCTACTGAAGGGCTCATTTCTTCCCTATAGCACAACAAACTTTTTAGCTGTTAAGACTCGTATTACGTGGCCATGTCATTCAGTGTTTTAGCAGAAGTTGATTGTGTATTTCTGCTGGATTCTCTGCTGCCTGCAGAACAGACTAGGATGAAAGGACACGTTGTCCTAGGGTAGCCCACAATCCAGTAGGGAGGACAGATGCAATGTGATGAGTGTTCTAATACCTGAGCTGAGACAACCACCTGGAGTAGGAACCAGCAGCCTGTGGCCTGTTTTCGTACGGCGTGTCCTGTTGCATCACAGCTATGTGTACTCATTTACATGTTAGCAATGGCTTACATATTATGCGATGTGTAGTTGTGATAGAGATCATATGGCCCACAGGCATCAAGTACTTACTATTTGATCCTTCAGCTTAAAAATTTGCCATTTCCCGGCTTTGAAGGAAGGAGCCTCAAGAAGTATATGGTTGGTCATCAAATAGGAGAGTGGAGGACATGGTGGAGGATGACAGCATTTTAAGGAGTTGGTAAAAGAAGAAAGTGCATGAAGTGATAGGTTGGGAACCAAATCACAGTGTTCCAGAAGAAAAAGGAGGAGAGAGTGTCAAAAAGTTGAGAGTCAACATCAGTACCAAACGCCCCACCCAGGGTAATCAAGAGAGGTGACGGTTACGATGACCATTTTGTGAGAATTGACTTGTGTGCCACACTGTGTGAAGCAACTTACATTCATTCTATCAGGACTCCATGTAACAACGCCATGAAGTAGGGACTATTAATATCCCCATTTTATAGATGAGGAAACCAAGGCACAAAAAGAGCAAGTAACTTTTCCAAACTCACACAGCTTGAAAATGACAGCGGTAAGTTTCTGGTCCCGGCATCCTGATTGAGAGAGCTTGTCATTTTAATCTCCATGCTGTAGTAATTTACAGTGGCATGATGGAGGTGGAAGATAGCTTCAAATTAGTGATAATGATGTCTGCCACGGACAATACACTACACTAGGTGTTTTGTCCTATCTCATTTAATCCTGTCAACAACTTCACTTTATATTTTGGGAAACTTGTTAGTTTCTCACAAAGAGAAAATAACTTGCCCAAAGCCAGCTATGGAGTGGCAGAGATGTGATGGGGACCAGGGCATTCTGGAGGGACACAGCTTGGTGCCTGACCTAGCCTGACCTCCCTCCCTCTGTCTCCACTGACCCCCGTCCAGCCTCAGCCCCTTCCCAGTTCCCTTGGAGATTTTGGCCTACATCTGGCTCTCACTCCCTGTTCCCCAATGTGGTAGCCATTTAGGAAAACGAAGAAGAAAGCTCAATGTGTCTTTTAAAATAACATTAAGGTGTGGTACCAAAAGAAAACCCATAGGCAGATCAATGAAACTATACCATAGCATATGTATAATCTGTGTTTTGATTAAATAAAAGTGCATCACAAGAAAGTGAGGAAGGGAAAAATCATTTGTCAAGACATTGGGACAATTGATTAAATATTTGCAAAGGTAACAGTTAGGGCTTCACATTATACTCAACAAAATCTATTCCATATGGATTTAAGTTAAATGTTTTTTTTAAAGATTATTTTAAACACTAGATAAAAGCATGTACTTTGAAATGGAATTTTTCTAAGCATAATTGCAATAAAAAATGATATATTTGATTTTGTTATAATTTAAAACATCTGTAGATCAAAAGTAATTTTAAAAATTAAAAGATAAAGCAGCATTAAAAATTAATCTTGGCTGGGTATGGTGATTCACGCCTGTAACTACAGTGCTTTGGGAGGCCAAGGCAGATTACTT